GTCTAAACGATGAAAGACAGTTTGCACCGTAAAATATCACCTTACACATGACCCCTCAGTACAATCCTTCTGGTCTATTATTTTAGTTTGCATCGATTAAGCTTCGCCTCCTCTCCATTTTTTTTCAAAAATTTGCAGTATTATTAGGCTCACGTACAGATTCGCTTCTTTTGAGAATCAGTCGGAAAGAAATTTCATTGATTTTGCAAAAATTTTGAAGGATTTTTAAACGATTTTTTTTGCAAAGATTTTGCAAAAAAAAGATCAATTCTGCATCTGATTAGACAATTTTATGTGAAATTTTATCGCAAATTTTTTAGCCGTCGTGATATCCAGGCAAGTGCTAATATGATGGAAGAGCCAACGCAAGAGGATTTGCCGACGTTTACCACCAGATGTCCGAACATCCGTAACTTATCCTTTCATCGGGTTCGTCTGAACTTCCTTTACTTTGAGCTTGAAATCATGGATTATTATACTAGCAAACTCACCGTGGGGTGGAAAAAAAATCGGATTTGTATGGTTTGGCTGATTTCTTGATTTTATCGGAAATTCCAAATATTGCACAGCATGCTTAACATTTATGTGTTCATTGGGCTTCGGATTGTTTTTTTATGCGAAAATCAAGTAATTTCGCAGTTGGGCAAAAGAAATGCGGCACCTCAAGCTCGAGGGGCAGGGAAGTTAAACGGGGGCGAGCGTCAGGATTACTTCTAGTAGTTTATCCACCGGATAGAATAAAAACGATGAGCGATAAAAGCCCAGCCAAAATTAGTTGTTCCGAGCAGAGTTGACGAGAAGGTTGGAGCTGTGAAGTGGTATTTTACAACCGTAAGTAGGCCGAAGCATACCTTGTAAAGTAATGGACCATGCTAACCGGAAGAAATTCTTCGGTCACAACATCCTTGCAAACATGCCCAACTTTTGTTTCGGTGCCGTGATACGATGAAAAAATAGTTAACTGAAGCAAGTAGCTAATTAAAATACTTTAATTGTAATTTTAATTTTAGATGATGTGCGTTTATGTAAAAAATAAGGGTTAAAAAGAAAGGAATAAAAGGAAGGCGAATAAGACAAATTGAAAAAAGAAAACTAGTTTTGTTAAAAAATTAATAAAAATTGAAATGTATGAATTTTTTTTTTATCTTTATGTGAACGAAATTTTGCTGCTGGCGCTTCCAGAAAATGTATAATTTATAAAAAATTAATTCTTTTTGAGGTTTTTTTTTTCAGAAGCATTCAAATAACGATCTCGATGAAACGGTCAATGAATTTCTCAGTCGTATTTTATCACCACTAGAAAAACTCGAAAGCCTCGATCTTTCATACTGGCAACAGGTGGAGGATTTGCACTGTTTATCACCGCACAAACTTTCAACACTTATTCTCTACGATGTACCTGATTTGTATCGTGCACTGGACACTATTGTACAAATTTCTACTCTCAGGTATTTCTCCTGTTCGAATTTTTGAGTGAGGTTCAAATAATTGAAAAAAAAAAGGAAATTTTTGAAAAAAAAATCGTTGAAAAAGCGAAATTTTCATTTTTTTTTGGCGATTTAAGCTGAAAATTTGAGTTTTCTTCCAAGTTACTCATCTCGTTAAAAAAATTTGAGTTTTTCTTCCAAGTTATGCTCATCTCATTATCGGATCTGTAAATGTTATACTTTTTTTTTTT